GCTGTACACCAGGGTGTGGATGGTGGGAGGGTGGTGGCCTGCATTTAGATTAAGTGCTGGGATGACCCTGGACCTGTACTTTAGGCAGGGTACTGAGACTTAGCAGTATAAAAGGCATTTGGGAATCAAACCCTGCCCAATTTAGATAGGTGAGGCTACCTCTGTATTTGAAGCTTGAGTGCTCAAGTTCAGTGCAGGCTGCCTCAGCAGTTATAACAGCAAAGCAGTTACTTCAGTGGCCAATTAATTTAATTTCTGTATTTTATGTGTCAAGGATTTATAATGAGGATTGCACTTGGAATAATAATAGGGTTATTGGTTTTTGGTTTTTGTTTTTTTTTTAATTTGCTGGATCCTGCTATGTTCAATGTACTTGTTTCCCTCAGCCAGCTGTTATCTGCTGACATAGGTGGAGACAAAGCGGGTGATTTCATTGTGCAGCATATTATTTCCAGCCTGTTCATGAGGCATATGGCTTCCAGCACTTGTACTGGGGCCCTTCCTACTGCATCAATAGCTGAGGAAGTCCAAATTGAAAGCAACACCCTACAGGGCAGGTCTCGGGGGAGTTTTGCTTATAAAAGAAGGGAGACTGAGCTCAGTTACTCTACCCAATGGCTGAGGTTGGCTGGCAGCTATTTCATTATCTCTGATGCATCTGGGTGGAGCGTTTGTTACCCCCATAAAGATTTCAGTGCAAATTAAAGTAAACAGGGGTCAGATAGAATGAGCCTTCACTTCTGGGAGTTGTATGTGGCTACAGGGAAATGGTAGCCTCCTTGTTCTACTGAACAGGAACATTAGACTGGTTTATAATTAGTGAATAAGGGGAAATGTCAGGGTAACGTTTAGGAGAACATTGTTAATGAAACACTCAGGTAGAACAGTGACTGACAGCACAGCCAGGTTGCCCTGGTGCTGGAGGGCTGATGGTTACCAAAGGCAAAATATGCTGTCCTTGTCTGCTGTGCACCTCAGTTGCCATAAAGGTACCTGGGTCATACTTGGAACGTGTTAATGCTGCTGCACTCACAGGGCCAGCAATTAAACTCAGGCAGGTAGCAGAAAATGAGAATTCCTGTTACTTGACGACCCTTGGGTCTAGGGCAGAGGCACAGACTTTATGATTGCACAGCCACAGACCTGGGTCTCTGTGTCCTGTGCTGGACCAATGGTGGGTGCTGCTCTTGGGGCACCTGCGTACAGCCCTCGCTCTGTGCCTGTGCTTTTGGGTTCATACATTCTCCAGCATCATCACAAAATCATAGTTTAGGTTGGAAGGGACCTTCAGGATCACCCAGTTCCAACCCCCTGCCATGGGCAGAGACACCACCCACCAGGTCAGGCTGCCCAGGGCTCCATGCAGCTGTGCTTAAAATGTTTCCAGGCATGGGACATGCACAACTGTTCTGGGCAGCCTGTGCCAAGGCCTTACTCCCCTCAGTAAAGAATTTCTTTATACCTAATCTAAAATTACCTTCTTTCAGATTAAAACCATTACCCCATCTCCTATCACAACAGATAAGGATTCTCTCCCATTTTTCCTGTTGGCCCTCTTTAGATACTGCGAGGCTGCAATGAGGTCTCCATGGAGCATTCTCTTCTCCGTGCTCAACAAGCCCAGCTCCCTCAGCCTCTCTTCATAGGAGAGGTGCTTCAGATCTCTGAGCGTCTTCATAGCCCTCCTCTGGAACCACTCCAACAGCTCCACATCTTTCTTGCACTGGGGCCCCTAGCCCTGGATGCAGTGCTTCAGATGGGGCCTTACAAAGGCAGAGCAAAGGAAAACAATCACCTCCTTCACATGCTGAGTGGGGACAGCAGCCCCAACAGCACATGCCCAGCTCACCAATGCAGCGCTAGCCTGTCTCAGCATTGCTGCTTCTCAGCTGAGGCAAATCCTCTGCTGCCTGGCTGTTAGAGAGCTGCGTTGTTGCTCTGCTTCCTGCCTTCCCCTATGGTGGCTTATTTAAAAATAAGGCATTAACAAAGAGCTTCAACTGTAAAAGTAGGCCAACCAGAGAGTGGGTACAGCAAATCCTAGGTGAGCCAGTGTACCAAGCTTACAGGGGGGGCTCAACTTCATATTACTTATCACCCAGGAAAGACTAGAACTGCACAAGGCCCCTGGATTACTGTGTCACAGGTTACTGTGAGGTCCAGCTGTTCAACCTGCCCTCACCTGTGAGCTAAGTGAGCAGCACTGCAGGCTGCCCAGCACACAGGGCTTCCCTGACCACCCAGCTCCTCCTTAGCACCTCTACTGTGCCTCCCTGGCTGCTGCTTGCTGGACAGAAGAGGAAGGGAGCTGGAAAAAGGGGACCCTCACATATGCCTTTACCACTCCAAGGTCTTGCTGTTGCTCTGAGTAACTGCAGAGAGTAGGCATGACCCTCCAGGTCTTCCTCCTCTGCCTTAGGACTAACTCACCCCACATTCATTGGAAAAACTGCAGCCAAGAATGGAACAACCAGGAGCATTTGCTCACCCAGGATCTCCAATGGTGGTATACGAAGGCAGATTCCAGAAGGCCCTGAGAAAACTGAAGTCTGACGTGACACAGTGCCTGGGCCTTCATAGCAACCTCCTGCATATTGGAGCTGTCAAGACCAGTTTGTCCAACTTCCACGCATCAAAGTACATCAATTTATAGACTCACATAATCCTTAGAGTTGGAAGGGACCTCTGAAGGCCATCTAGTCCAACAGCCCTGCAATGAGCAGGGATACCACTGCTAGGTCAGGTTGCCCTGGGCCTTATCCAGGAACCTGTTCCAGTGCCTCATCACCCTCACTGTAAAAGATTTTTTCCTTATATCTAACCTACAGCTCCCCTCTTTGAGATCTGCATGTGGAAAGAACAGAAGGGAACAAGCTGCATTGTATTCTATGATGCTGGAATTGAATTCCGGTCACTTATGGAGGTCATAAAAAGTTCCATGTTAGTTCTCTCCACAAGCTATTCAATCTTCCAAGGTGCACACTCCAACTCCCCAGAAATAGCTGCTCTTGGATATATAAAAACCCAGACTCATCAAAATCCACTACATCAACTTTAATAAACTTCCTGATGAAGACAGTTAATCAATTACCACTGTTTTCATCCACCACAGGGGGGTTCTGCAGCTGTTTTTATTTTAAGACAATTGGCTACAAAACAAGTATATGCATTTAGAATGAAGCATATTAAATCAAGATGAGCATTCTGTGTGTAGAACAATCAATGCACAATTTTGCCACAATGCTTTGCTACCCTGATGTCCCAATTACTGCTGAGCCTGTACACACATCATAGAAAATCCTCCAACAATGGCACTGTGGCATGCAGTTGCTCTGTAGCCCAGGCTGTAGACAAGCATATCCCATATGCATTATGATCAGCAAAGTATTACTTCCACCTCTGCAATTAAGATTTCTGCCACCAAAAAATGCCTTTCTGCAAGGTGTTTCGTTTGTCTGCTCCTATTTTCTTAAATGAAATGGTCATGATAACAACGCACTGTACAGAGGGGTTTCAAATGCTTTTCTTTAAGCAAAACTACGTATTAAACACCTCTGGCTTCTTCCATTTAAAAGTGTGAAAAATGGCACAGGCAGAAAGCTAAAAATTCAAAGCTGACTAATTTTAAAAAAATATGATACAGGAATTCATAGCATGAACTGATCAGTATTGCAGTTTTAGGGGAAAAACCTGCAGTTGTGGATTCTGTCACATAAAAAGTATGATTTAAAACATGACGAAGATTCAGAACGCTTTTAGCCGAACCTGTGCCATGTCCTCAATTTTCCCAATCAAGACGGGAGCGTTTTGTTTGTTTTAAGCATCCTGGAAGTCTACAATCTGTGACCAAAAAAACCCAAACACAAGAATTTTTTGAGTCTTATTTCTTTCTAACTCAAAGTACAGTAAATGAGCTGTTTTAGCCTCACCTTTGCTTTAATCAGAACTGCTTTACCCATTAGCTAGAATAGATGGTCCATAAGTATTCTAACAAGTATCAAGACAAATATAATCTTTGCAGATGCCTTCCTTACTGCCACAGACTGCACTCAAAGTCAGGACCTCAGGCTGCTCCCCTGCAATGCCCCAGGAAGTTACACATGTCAGGAGAGACTTCACAGGTGACAGCTTATTGAGCAAGGAGCCATTACCAAACAGCAGGAAACACTGACCTTCACAAACAGGTATCCATGCCTCCATGAGCTTCTGTGTCCTACTGATAGCACAACAGAATGGCCCCACCCAGTGCTGGGTACTCCCTAAAGAGAAGATCAGGCTATCCACTAAACATGAAAATACACATAAAGAGCATAAAAGGCAAAAACAAAAATATCTTCCGTTTTTGGACTTCACAGCTATGTGGCACCTTAAGCAGCATTTTGAACATTATAAATTTGTATGCAGGTGCTCAAAACTTGATGAGGGTTCAGCCAGCTGGATTCCAGTCATACCTGCTCACCAGTACCACATAGCTTTTTAGCTAAATACACATTCATGTTGCCCAGTGCAGCCATCAGATCATGTTCTACTGTGCTTGAGGAGCAGCACGGCTCAGTTAACTTCTGTATTACACAGTCACCTTGAGTTGCACAGTGCAGGTACTTAGTTATCTAACAGACCCCAAGGCAAGGATTAACTAACTGAGCATACAGCTATGAGCAGGTGAAAATCAGCTGAATTTTAAAAGGCCAAACATAATAAATTGCAAAGCAAGCCCAATACAGTACACATAGCAAGCATGCATAACTTGCAATATTAAGCAACTGCTGACACATCTTTTATACCTTCCTTTGCTATAAAGGGAAGGTCGGGAGAGAAAGAGACACCAAGTAAATTCACATTCTCTTATTATCCTACTGCAGTACTATTCCAGAACAACATGAGGTACTGGTAATCATTAAGTACTGCCTAAAAACTGGCCATCTGTTACCTTCGGATGCTTGTTACGTACCAACTCAACAGCACTCCACCATCTCAACCAACACTGGGAATAAAAGGACTTTCTTGTGAAAATCATTTTATTAAAGAGTTAGCGTCACAACAAGCTCAAAGTAACACATGCTTCAGAAATAAATTTGATGAAAAATACTCTGAACAGAAATATGAATGTTTTGAAGGCATGGTAAATCATCAGTTGCAAGAAACTTCTGCAAACAGGTGCAAATTCTGTTGGTGCAATGGAAAAAAAAAAGTCAGAAAAGACGACTTCTGGCCATTTTGGTAGTACAGTTTGTCTAAGAATTTAAATCAGAAAGGGCACAATTTCCATGGCTGCATAGACCCAGATGTATTTCTTCAATAATTAGCTCCAGCACAGATTTTTCATTGTGAGTACTAACAAAACAAATTTAGTTGACACCCAAATGTAGCAATTATATATATATATATATATTATATGCAATAGATGTTTGACTCATGCAGCCTCCTCACTTACATTATTTTTCTTTAATTTAATCAATAAACATTATAAAAAAATAAGTTTGCAATTTGTATTTTGTTCCAGTGTTAGCTCTGCATCACCTCAGGCAAAGACAGTGTTTTCAGCAGATAGATAATCTAATTTGGCAAGAAATCTGCCCTAATTCTAAAACTCATTTTTGTAAATCCATGTAGAAAATAAATGCAAACTCTTTATACAAAACAAGAGCAAGTAACTGTACCTATATAAAAGAGGATTTTGTTTTGTTATCATGGCACATACTTTAAAGTTTCACAACAACATACTAATTTTAATTAGGTTTTTTTTTTTTAAACCCAAAAACAGTGTTGATGAATGGAAGAATGTGCGTTACCATGGGCAGCTGACTCATGCATTAAGCAATTCATGTTCTTTATCAGTTTTCCCAACAGCATCAGGATTGGATAACGGGTCAAGGTCAGCAAAGATACTGAACCAGGCAGTCCGGTCTTTAGGATTCCTTGTAGGTTCTGGGGAAAAATGAATAAATAAATAAAAGTACAAACTTGGAGTTCTTCCTCGTCAGCTATTTCAAAACAAAACTGATTGAAAGTTTGGCTGAGGTCAAACAAATGCTGTTGTTTCACTTATTACTAAGGGCACTTCTGACAAGAAAATCAGAATGAGTGATTGCATTTTAAAACACCACCTTTAAAAGAATATGGAACTTTGTTAAGAACAAATGTTTTACATCTGTCTGCCTGTGTACTTTATACACCTCCTGCCATGATAAGTACAGAACATTTCAATTACAAATAGTCTCTGTCAAGCTTTAGTGAAAGGTATTTCCATAGAATCATAGAATCCTTTGAGTTGGAAGGGAACTTTAATGGTCTTCTAGTCCAACTCCCCTGCAATGAAAAGGGACAGCTACTGCAAGACAAGGTCACTCAGACCCTGGTCCAGCCTCACCATGAATGTCTCCAAGGATTTGGGTATCCATCAGCTCTCTGGGAAATCCATGCCAGTGCCTCACCACACATATAGGAAAAAAAAAATACTTCTTCCTTATATCTAATCTAAATCTCCCCTTCTTTAGTTTGAAACCACTTCTTGTCCTGTCATAACAAATCCTGCTAAAAAGTCTGTTCTCTTTCTTTTCAAAGCCCTCCAGAAGATACTGAAAGGCCACTATCAGGTCTTCCTGAAGCCTTCTTTTCTCCAGGCTGAGCAGCCCCAGCTCTCTCAGCCTGTCCTCGTAGGAGAGGTGTTCCATCCCTGGGATCATTTTTGTGGACACACTCCAACAGGTTAGTGTCTCTCCTGTATTGAGGGCTCCATATCTGGACACAACACCAGGTGATGCCTCACCAGTGCAGAGCAGAGGGGCAGGAATGCCTTCCTCACGCTGCTGGCCACACTTCTTTTAATACAGCCCAGGATATAGTTGGCTTTCTGGGCTGTGAAGGCACACTGCTGACTCATGCCCAGCTTCCCCTCCACCAGTACCCCTAAGTCCTTCTCAGCAGGGCTGTGCTCTATCCTTAACATCCTCCAGATTGCACTGATAGTGGGGGTTGCCACAACCCAGGAGCAAGACCTTGCATTTGAATTTGTTGAAGCTGATGAATTTCACCTGAGTCCAGTGTCAGAGACATGTACCTGTGTGTGTGAGACTGCTTGTGTATACACCTGCATGCCTGCAAAAAAACAAAAGCTAAATGGAAGCAAACTCTACTTTCAACCTTCAGTCTTACAGGACTGAATTCCCCACACAATATCATAAATTATGTCTCAAGTACAGCTTCTAGTACAAGGGTAGATTTTTTGATTGATATTAAAAAAATGTACAAAATAAGATGCACTCTTCTACTCAGAAGAATAATGTTGTACACTAAATGAAAGCATTCTTTGTAAAATAAGGAATTTATGGGCAAAATATGCTCTGCTTGGCATTAATTCCATCTTCATGTCTGTGAGGCTAGAGAACCTGTCACTTTCACAGACACAGATTTTAGAGTAGCTGAATGCTCTTTGTATTTCTGGTGAAGGTATTGCAGCTGAGACATCTTATTCATCTCCCAACCAGTTCCCAAAACATCTTAACTGTCTTTTTCTACTAGGCTAAGAGCAGTCATTAGTTTAATCCTGGGAGGCAGGGGAAGGAATACACAGTGCTCCTTCCTTCTGCACTGACCATATCTGAAACAACTTCTGCTTGAAAATGAATGCACAAAATAGGCTGCTAACTAGAATAAGGATGCAATGCATTCCTGGTTCCCCTATCAAAAAAACCCTAGTCAAAATCAGCAGGGCTTTGTCTCAGTAGGTAGCAGGACTATACTCTTCGCCACAAGCGAATTGTTTCATACAGACAACTACTGATATGATGCATGTTATCAGTGAAATTTATGATAATGGCTCTTCTGTCTTATCAGTAGCCTGCATTATAGCCTAGAGCCTCAGAACACTCTTTAGCTTACAATAGTGCATGCAGATGCTTTTCCATATGACTCAAAATTGAAGTAGCAGAACAAACTGTAGTGTGAGCTCACTTGTTACTCAGTACATTATTCTTCTGACATACCAGCACTGAAGCCTACAAACAAAACATACGCACAAACACTATACATATAATCAACATTGAGAGAGCAAAGCAGTAGCAACAAAACTCTTGATGTGTAAATGCTATAAAAACAGGCTTTATTGTGGTAGATGAGGTGAGAAAACTAGCAAGATGTAAGTCACAGTTAAAGAGGAAAAGCAAAGCATCTCAAAACTAAATGACTTACCACCTTTCACTGGCGTCTTGTTAGCATTCACATTCAGGCTGTTTGGTTTCTGTGCTGGCTGTGGTATAGACGGGGGGCTCCCACTGTTAGCTGCCCACCCTAAAATTCAATAGTATAGCAGCATTAGTGGTAAGAATTACCTTGTCAGCGCTGAGACTTCACTCTCTAGCAGCACAGTGCTCACATTAGGTGATGGAGCACAGTGCTGTTTTGGTTACGGCCTTCTCTATCTTTCCTCGTACATGAGAAATCAGCAGGAAGATACTGCAGACAAACAACACCCTTAAGAACAGAGCATCTGTGGATCAGTTTCTTCATCTCCAGATTCAAGGAATTGTGCACTTTTCACACCTTTAACCTAGCTAAAGAAAGATAGGTGGATTTTTTTTGTATCTTTAATCCAATCACACTTAATAAGCCAGTATTAAGTGTGCCACAACTGTAGAATGAGGGACATCAGCTACACATGGGCAAAAAAACTTTTTTTTTTTTTTTTTTTTTTTTTAACATCTTCCTTTACTTTTACAGTTCCAAACATTTATTTCATCAACTGTTCCAGAAACAAATGCATTCTGTGACCCTGGGTTATTTAATGAATTATGAAATCATTAATTCTGAAAAAAGAAATCATTTGTTGCCAAACACTGAAGAATTAAATTCTAGATGAACTACTTGCAGCTAACTTAAAGCTGGGTTTTAATTGAGTGTATTTTAGTTATCCTTCATGGTAAGGATCTTCTCACCAGGGAGAGAGCAACTATGTGGAAAGAAGTGAAACTGGGTATTCACAATTTATTGTTCCTACATGCACATTTCATAACCTCAAGATAATAATGACAACTACAGTTATTGAAGCTGGATGAGCCAGGCTGGCAAAATGAATTAGGGACAGCATACCACAGAAACATAGGAAAAATGGTCCGTGGTTTAAGGTATTTAAATTCTTATGCTTTATCACATTTAGAGGACCGGAGGTCATATTTCTAATACCAGGATTAGAATACAGATGTAATTAGCTTGCTTCTATTTCTTATTTCAATGCCACCTCCTTTAAGTGTTGCCTTGGTCAATTATCCATCCACCTGAAGGAACTCGTATATCTAATTCTTCAGTATCTGAAACAAGATATTCATCTGTACACATGGCTAGTATTTCCTTTTTCAGCCTCTTTTTCTACAAGTTCACACTCTCACATCCTTTATCTGTTCTCGTCTTCCTTCCTCCCCTTACTTTCTTCACTTTTGAGACCACTGTCAGATACCGAAAGCTGCTGCAACAGCCATTATGTTACAGAAACCCTTCCTTCCTCTAACAGCTTATTCTCATCACTCCGATCTGGCGTTGACTATAAAGGACTCAAAGCCCATGCTGTGTTATTAAAAGGAAGCAAGAAGAGTGTTTCTATAAAAATCACATAGATGAGAAAGGGAATTTTAAGCCACAAACATCCTCTGTATCTCTGAGAAACTTAAAACTTCCTGAAAATCTGGGTGCAGAAGGCTCACATACGTTTGTTCTAGGCAAAGGCAACAAAGGCTTACAGGCCAGCTTATACCTCCTGAAAATGTGATCTTAAGAGTTTAATCTTTCAAATTTAAAAAAAATAAGGCATTAACACTTCAGAGTGACATACTTTTTCATATATTTTCTCTGCTTGTATTACAAAAGAGAAGAATGGCAGAGGACACAACTACAGAAAACTTTCATTTGAAAGCATTTCATAATGCTTTCATTTGCACGCGTATGTACTGCAGGAAAGTGCTTTGCATATCATGGATGGCAGTGGATAAAATGAGAGCTCCAAAGAACGGGGCCAAATCCTAATTTCAGAGAAATGAATGGGCAGTGCTGCCTGGAAAGTTTCTGTGCAAGTTCCACTGCCTTCAGTGAGCTCAGGAAGAAACCAATATGATCGTGCATCACTGCAAATGTTGGAGCACAGAGTGGAACACTGTGAGGCACCCAGCTGCTTGGACCCCTCCGTTTGACTCTCTGAGCTGAGACCTGGTGAGCCCACATGGTGCTGTGCTCTGGGTCTCTTCATTACAGCACAGGCAGCTCAAGCATCACTTTGAAAGCAAAAGAAACCTAACCATAAAAAAATCCAATCAAAAATGTTCTGTAAAATAGACAATGCTCGTATTATGAAATTCTGGATCCATGAAGGCTTTGGGAAAGATTGCCACAGGATTTTTATGAAATACTTTCATGAATTTTGTTTTTACCACCCACTCACGGTGAGCTGCAGAGAACAAAGCCTGTGCCTTTCAACACCAAACTGCAGTCTGTATCAGTGTGACAGCATTTGCTGGCCCCACACTTGTTTTAGTTTGCCTTGTTCACAGGGCAAATTCATTCTGTGACTAGACAGAAGGTTATCGCTGTGACAGCAAGGAAACCAAACAGCTTGCTCTTCAGCAAGCTTCTTCACAAAGTTACCACAATTAAATTTAGAAATGGAAACAGTAAGCTGCACATTTTCTTACCGACTAGAATATGTGCATATGTAGGTGATACAAAGAGGAATTCTCAGTGGGGTAAGTAAATGTGGCCATAAACATGAAGGAGAAAGCCAGTGCTCTCTGTGAAAAAGTGGCATGGCAACTGAACTGCAAAACTGTATTTAGAATGGGATATAAAAAGATTCACTGGGATCATACTTTGTTTTTGATATTTGTGTATACACACACACACACACACACATATATATTTTTAGACATTTTAAAACAGCACTTGGTAGTCCCCTAGCAATTTGGAGTCCCATTGTGCTAGATCCTGTCAATAAATACAGCCAGAGAGAACTCGGAGCTGGGAATTCCTGACCGTAACAGTTTACAACCTGCATAGCACTGTGCCTGTTTTACAGATAAAGATCTGAGGCAGAGAAAAAACAAAGCCTCAAAGATTTATGAGTGTGCTTAACATAAAATAAGTAAGTAATCCCACTGAAGTTAATAGAAAAGTTAACGTGCTTAAAGTTAAGCATGTGAGTTTTAAGAATTTTTATGGTCTTAAGGCCAAATTCACACAGGAAGCATGCACATCTAGGCTCTGCTGCAGCACCTCGCACTGAATAATTATTAAACAATCCCATCAATTAGGGGAAAAAAAAGTACAGCATAGTGCACAGATGTATCCCAAATGCCTCAGTAAAATATCCATAACTCACATATTCTAATATTTTTGTTTAGATATGCTTATACTGCAGCTAGTATTTTTTTTGTTTTCTAAAAAGTCACTGCTCACAGATCTGACAAGGTTATATGAAAGAAGTGCCGTGAAGTGAAATGCAGTTTCAGAAGAAATGAGATTTCACAAGATATAAAAAGCATACAATTTCACCTTCAGATAAAAAGTAAAAATAATGCATTTCACTTGACTACTAGACTCAGCCAGGAACACGATGATTATCAGATATGATCATTTGAGTTGACTAGCTTTTCAAATGCCAGTAGATCAATTACCATTATCTTCTCCCAAAATCATGGAAATTAATTTGAAAACATTAATCTGTTTTACTCTTTTAATGTGTGATTCTACTATGATGTTACATTGACAGAACTACTTTCCTATTTCTAGTGTTTCATGAATGCAACATACGTAACTTGCACAACCAATGTCACTGCCTCATGCAAGTGGAAGAGACAACAACAAAACAGATACTCAGCTGTCTGAATATATTGTATACATACATGCATAAATATTTCTCCTTGAATAAACATTTACATTTAAAAACATGCAAAAAGTCAAGAAAAGCAATTCTCGTAACATGTATCGCTATTTTTAGTCATTTGCTTAAAATCTGTGTATGCCCTTGCATCAAAAAAGGTGTTTTTCATTGTTCCTTTTGTCCCTGTTCCATTTGACAATGCAGTGACTAAGACTCATTTTTTTTCTGTTCCTATTGTATGTAGTCAATTCCTACACTGTTCCAGTCCCTCTTCACTCTATTAATCATACTCATATATGCATATATCTAATCATAAAATTGCACAGCGTTGCAAATGTCATTTGCCCAGCTCTCATCTAAATATTGAAGTCAGTGAACCCAAGTATCTTGCTTGTGCTGGGAAGAAGGAACAGTAACTGAATTAATTACCAGGTAACTTTGACTTTCTTATTCTTGCCAAAATGACACAGGTCAGTACATATCCTACGTGATTATATGAGTTTCACAGGTTCCAAGACGTAGTCTTCAGGATGAAATCAGTCTGCTAGTCTTACTACAGCACTCTTCCCCAAAGGAGATGAAAATGACTGCTGGGACAGAGCCCAAAACAGCACAATCCTCCTCCAGTTTGCAGCACCCTACACAGAATCTGGGCTGGCAGCTACAGACAGTGGGGTGGATAAAGGTAGCTGTTGTTGGCTGATTAACCACGCTCCCTCCCTCAGGCCAAAGAAGCAGTGGGAAGGCTTTCCTTTAGTATCTCCTTCTTCCTTTCCCCTTCCCATTGCTCAAAAAGCTCAAGAAAGAGAATAGCATAGAACACCAGGGAGAGAAGGAGTGGTCACTTGTATCAGTAGACAGATGTGCAGCCTACAACACAAATTCACCAGCGTGGCTGCTAGGAAAAGGTATTCCACTCTTACCTCACTTATATCCCTACCCGACAACAGTGTAGGATACAGAAAATAAATGCAATTGATTTTCACTAAGTTGTTTAAAAGTAGTATTTCCAGACAAAATACAGTGATCATTTTTGGTTCTTTGGCCCCTTAACAAACAGACACAGCAGTCATAATTCAAACAGTAAAACCCATTCACACGTATTTTCTAATACAGAAAAAACATGTCAAAGACCTTTCAGGAATAATAATGAAAATATTCAAGATAATTATTCTGACTTCAGGCTTTAAAGTAATTCCTTCACAAATCTAAATGCAGGGCTAGAAGAAAAATGCATGTTCCTCTCCAGGTCACATTTCACTTTAACTTCAGCATTTCTGCAGCTATGGCACAACATCACTACACTTCTAAACAGCAGAAAGCCGTACTCTGAAGCTTAAAAGCAAAAACAAAATGATAACATACCAAGATGAGCTCTTACCATGTAAAGATGACTGCAAGTCATTCATATTTTGGTCTAATAGTTGAGAAGGCAAATAGCCTGATGGAGTCAATGCCACAGCTGAACTGTTATCCTCATCTCCAGCTGAAGAGTTCATGGCAAGATCATCCTGTCCAAAAACATCTGTCCATTCTTTACTGAATTCTCCCTCTTCCAGGGAGGAAGCACTGAAGATATCATCCAGTATTACCAAGTCATCCTTATCACCAGGTTCTGATTTCAAGGACTTTGCAAACTGTTCCTTTGATGCTGTCTCAGAACAAAACAGAAAGTAAAGATAAATCAATATTAAAACAATCAAGGAATGGAAGCCACATTTTCAAAATATTTAGTCTAGTTTCTATGTATTAACTAAGATGGGATATTTTTTTCTATGAATACTTGTCATTTTCTCTTGTAGAACTAATTCTCTTGGACACCTGGGCTTGTAGTTTATGCAACAAATTATTCCCTGATTACCTTAGATAATAGTACTGCACTTCAAACTCATTGTCCATTAAAAATACTGCAAGCCTACATAACTATCTAATAGATACTGCACCAAAATCAATATAGAGTTTAATACCTAAAAACACAGGAGAAAAGTACTGTGAAGTATTACATAAGCTACTTTTTGAAGCATTACATAAACCTCCTCTCAAAACAATCAGATGATTGATACAAGCAGAAAACAACGGGAGATGATTGTAGAATTCTGTGAGAACATACTTCAGATGGCCTTTATAACTTTCCATTCATTGCTCACAGGGATATGCTGTTCTTCTCCAAAGGGTGCTGTTTTATCATGTAACTTTTGAATTCTCATATCCAGTAAGAACCATAATCCTTTCCACTAGCTTACATAATGTTTGGAAAGAGAAAGAATCATCTATGAATGCCAAGTGTTATTTTACCTGGAAACATTTAGAGTTCCACTGTGGGAGCAAACAGAGGACAAAAACGGTGGTTAACAATGCTGATGTTATGTTACTGAAACCCAGATCAGTTTATCTTAACTACACTTATTTCAAACTTGTGGTAAGGCTCAGAAACAAATTCAGTTTTCCAAATTGCTGATATATCAGCTGAACTCTCCACGTTTCATACAGCTTACAGAGATGTTTTAACATTTTGGGGTTGAGATAAAAGATTGATAGTGGCACAGTGCTTGCTACCAGAGCAACTGGTCATTTGATTTAAATTCAATTGCCTTCTCAAGAAAGCTCTCTTTTAATAGCTGCAGTAATTTACAATGAAATGGCTGAAGTTGAGTCATAGGAGAAAAAAACAGCACAACTGTTTTAAAAATAGGTAGATGACTCAACATACACACCTATGTACTAAGAAACAAAGACGACAACACGTAATACAACGGTTTTTTAAATTGCTGAAGTCAACACTGATGCTGAGCTCCTCTCTAATTCACATTTTATGCTCCCTCACATGACCAAAAAAATAGGAGCTATTACAAACAAGTCAATTCTAATGTTCCCACTAGACTATAACTAAAATACCATAGAAAACAACATGTTCTCATGAATACTGAGTTCCTTTCCAATCTTCACATAAATAGCAAAGAATGTTAACATTCTCCAAGAACCTACAATTCCCCCAAATCTCTCTGTTCAAGCAGCAATGCAGTGGGGTACATTCTTACATAGGGAAAAGATGCTTGCTGTTTCAAAGACGTGTAAGAACTGTGATTTCTACCGGATGACACCATCTCAAATCGGCTTTCAGTAGGCTCCTTCATGAACTTAGAAGGCTTGCAGGGGGAGACTCAAAGAAGGCATCATTAATAACAGCATACTACCAATACTAATCACAAATTACTTTTACAAAATATGTTACCAAAATTTGGCAGTGAACAGCTTAGGGAAAAAAATTGCTTCATTTGGGTATCCCATTGCAGAAGTACAATTTCTACTGGGAGAGAAAGTAAAGTAAAACACAGCTTTACATCAGAGAACCACTTGAATCTTGCAGTACTTCACATAACCACCAGAAATCAGAAGAGTGACACATCTCTTATCTCAGCAGTCTTTCTGGTTTTCCTGGGGAGAGAATGCAGACAGAGTAGGGGATGATAGGGTGGTGCCTATGCTGAAGCTACCTCAAGTAAACAGCAGTAAAGCTCTGCTTGTTTGCAACAATGGTTATCCTGAAAACAGTCTTGCTTATCGAGATATTACTCGTGTGGTATCGTCCTAGATTACTAGAATTATATGGTCTTTCTCATCTCACCTATAAAGCTTCTATTATTTCTTTTCCCATTTCACTGCCTATTTTCACCGTTGAAATTGCTTCTTCACCTTCACATTCTGCCCTTAATCTTAAAAATATCCATGAAAAAAATCCACAAGCTCCCAGTAAAAGACTGAAAAACCCAACATCATGACATTCTCTTCTGTGTCTGTTTGAACAAGCATCTAGCAATACTTAAACTCCTTTGCAAACATTCCTCATTTTGCTGTTATTAGAAAAATAAATAAATAGGAAGATAAATTAAAAATATTTACAATTATACATTATTTGAAATACAGGATAAAGACTACCTTCTAAGTCACACACAAAAGTGTACCTCTAACTACACTAGTGCAGTTAAAATAGCAAAATAGTAATTAGTCTAAATCTAGCTATTATGTAAAATCTAGGTTGATAGCTAACATTAACACAAGCATTTTTGTCAGATGTAGCTACTCCACAAAGACTTTCATATTGACTTAACTATTTCACTAAAGAAAAAAAAATAACAGGCTTTTAACTGACATGACTAAACTTGTATGAACAATAACTGTATGCATTATCTATATCTGAAGGTTGAAGAGCATACGGTTCAGGAGAAAACCAGAAGGGAAAAAAAAGGCCACATGCTAACTTCTTATTTGTTAACCACAGAAAAGAAGTTGTCACTATCAGTTCACAGATTAGGATTGCTATGTGCAGAGGTAGCCAAGGAAACTTTCAATGTTTCTGCCTGGGTTAAGATGCAATTTCCCCTGCAGTATAAGAGACTGCCCATGGCAAACCAAAGTCACAGTGTTTGCAGATCTGCTGTTGCTTACCCATTGGAAGGCTGTACCTTAAGTAGCCCAAATAAAACTCTCTGACTTGTGTGGCTGACTAAACCACACAAAGGGACTTCTTTGGTTCTTTGTTTGCTTTCTGAGCTGCCAGATTATTTTGATCTTGTTGTTAAGGTTTTTTTTACTCATTCTTTTCAGATGAACAAGTGAAGAGCAAATGAAAAAATGCATGCAGAATTCTTATTGCACAAGAGAATTCAATATAAACCATCTGGCAAGTAAAACAGCACCCTTTGGAAAAGAACAGCATATCTCCTTGAGCTGCTGCTAATCTAACAAAAGTGAAAGGATAGGAATAGAACCTGGAATTAATGCCATTGCTCTCACATCTATTTGAGAACAACACAGCAGGTTGAATTAACTATATGGCTGAAAGAAGTTACCAGTTCTTAAATGTTTTCTAATATTTTCACTGTTGGTATAAAACTAGTGGTTACTATTGTATTGCTAAGTGAAGAGTTCACAGAATCACAGAATCATAGAATGGCCTGGGTTGAAAAGGACCTCAAAGATCATTGAGTTTCAATCCCCTGCTCTGTGCAGGGTTGCCAACCACCAGACCAGGCTGCCCAGAGCCACATCCAGCCTGGCCTTGAATGCCTCCAGGGATGGGGCATCCACAACCTCCTTGGGCAACCTGTTCCAGTGCGTCACCTCCCTATGTGTGAAAAACTTCCTCCTAATATCTGACCTAAACCTCCCCTGCCTCTGTTTAAAACCATTCCCTCTGGTCCTATCACTACCCACCCATGTAAACAGTCATTCCCCCTCCTGTTTGTAAGCTCCCTTTAAGTACTGAAAGGCCACAGCGAGGTCCCCTGGAGCTTACTCTTCTCCAAGCTAAACAAGCCCAGTTCCCTCAACCTTTCTTCACAGGAGAGGTGCTCCAGCCCTCTGATAATCTTAGTGGCCCTCCTCTGGACATGTTCCAAGAGCTCTGAATCTTTTTTGTGCTGGGGGCCCCAGGCCTGGATGCAGTATTCCCAAGGGACCTCACAAGAGCCGAGTACAGGGAGACAATCACCTCCCTCTCCCTCCTGGCCACCTTTTTTTAATGCAGAGACTGCAAAAAGTTATAGCAGAGGTAAGGTTTATTGTGCAACCTACTTCAATGAAGCAAACCAATTAATATAACCAATTCAGTATAACCTTGAATCACCTGCTGGAATGTTTTTATCCTCAGTAAGGTTTGTTTTATATTCTTACATCAGGCACAGTGTTTCAACTGTTTATGAAGTTGAACTTCCTTTAATGCTGTTTAAATACTTCAACTGAATAATTTCATTGAGAAACATATTAACCTTTCAGATTATGAAAGCAATAAAGAACCAAGATTAAAATTGGCACTTGGTACCTATGATTGAAAAGTAAATGAAACAGATATGCACAAATGTTTCATACCATTTTCTTCAGGATGCAGGTCTAATAAGTCATCTACAGCACCTAAGAATAAAAAAGAGGAAAAAATTAAAAGGAACAGGAGATTTGCAGTACTGACAAACACCTTGCATACATCTAGATGTAGTTTCTTCAGACACTTCGCCTGACTTCTGTTTGTGGTTACAATTTCCTTGTAACTTGGATAGGGAATCCTTGCCATCATGAGCTGTAATCAAGAGCCATGAACACATCAAATCACACTTGGCACTTAATGGTACTGAAAGAATGAGAACATGTTGCGTGTTGAACATTGTGACATTGTTTATGAACATTTGCTACTCATGCTTAAAATGAACCTGGTCACCATGGGTGAAAGACCCAAGATATTTAAAAATACTTGTAAGTAACATTTCTGAATTACAACAAGACAAAATCTTCCTCTGCAACACCACCTGCCCCACAAGACCATCTCCAGGCTAGGTGTATCCAAATGAGGCAACCCCTGAACTGAACTTTCCTCCAGAAGCAGATTTTTTTTTTTTTATATGTTTGTACTTCCACAGGGCAGAAGAGAGAACAAAAGTGCTCAGGATCTCATCAATCCTTAAACTGCTTTTCTTGACTATGTATCAGTTTATTATACAAACTGGATGTTAAGAAGTGGAAGCAGTTGATGAGAAGAGCTGTGAATAAACAGTCCCATCACTAGTAGCACCATGTTGATTATTTTATGATATAAAGATGTATTTAAAAAAAAAAAAAAGCAGAACAAAAAAAACAATCTTAGCAATGTCAGAGACTTGTCAGTATATGAAGAGGGGAAAATTTAGCAAAAGTATTCCAAAATAATTCAGTTCCTTCTAGAGATGAAGGAGAAAGAGACACAACAAGGTATTTATATTATGGATAATACTTATGAGCTGTCAAATATTTCAGTAAGTGAGAATGATTCTAGACAACGTCTGCTAAGAAAATACTTTAGAAGTCAGGTTTTTATATTAAAAAAATATTAAAATATCTGGTAAAGTAAGTATCCAATTGCTTAACCGCAAAGTGGTTGAAACTTCTAATTGCCAAAAAAAATGTCCTGATGCAGTGTCACAATTAAAGAAAACACACACACACACAAAAAAAAACCACAGCGATAGCGATTCAAATAATTGTAGGTAACTATGGGCTGGTAAAAGAACAGAAGTACAAGTGCTCCTGTAATAAAATGCATTTTTATGGAAAATAGGCTTAGTTTAAAAGTTAATAAATGGAGATCAAAACAGTAACAACAACAACACCACAACCAACTATTCAATTCTTTGATAAAACTATGAGCTTTTTTAGCAAAGAAATTTGTTTAGAAACAAGTTGACTTTCCACTATGCAGCCTTCCAGCTAGAAAGCTAGCACTGCGTAATATCTATAAGAAACATATTGAATGGATTAGGAACAAGAAAACTAACAGATGTCAAAAGAAGTTGTTGGCAAAAATAATTGCAAAGTAGAAGTGTTTCCAGTTTAGATCTGCAAGGTTTAGTGTTATATTCATTGCTTTTCAATGGCTTTAGCAGCCATCTGGAAGTAAACACAGAATCCCTCCTAAAAAAAAAAAAGTGCAAACAACTTCCAGACTGTTAGAGGTGGTCATTCAGGCCAGTCACTTAGTTACTACAGTAAAGCTGGAGAATTTAATACTACTAATTCTTAAGATATATCTTTAGGAATAAAGAATATAAACCATGCTTCAGAATGGAAGAATGAGTCCTGGAAATCTGTGACTAAAATGAACCATGCTTTCATAAATCAAAAAAAAAAAAACAAACAAAAAAAACCACATGCGAGCTTCTAACTTGACATAACTGAAAAAATGAGATAGTACTGGAAATAGAAAAATAAAGAAGGCAATGAGTAGAAACAGGAATGTGACTTTAGAAACATTACTGGTGAAACTAATATCAGAAATGTCTTGTACAGTAATACTGCTCAAATATTAAAAGTGATGCTGGACAAGGAATGGAAACAAAAACTTCAAAACTAATGGACTAGAGAATATGTATTACAGATATCCATATGGTTAGCCTATCATGAGGAGGATCTGAACGGCAAGATTCTCTATTAATTTAGTACATAAAGATATACTTTAAAGTCATAGCATAACTTGGATGGACATCTGGGTGCCATTTTGTGAGCCACTCATTAGTGTAGAGCTTGCGATGAAGTTGGATCAGGCTTTCCAGGGATGTGCCTCAAACATCTCCAAGGACGACAGTTTCTGTAAGGACTTATTCCAACTCTTTGCCACCCTTGCAGAGAACACTCTTTCTAATACCTAAATGTAGTTACATTTTCCCCTCCTGTCATTCGTCTCCATCATCTACCATTCTTTCATTGTGAATCTTCAACTAGAGCCTGGCTGTGTCACTGGATAATAACCACACTTTGCCCACCTTTTAGCCGTAAGTTCTACTGAATTCAACGAGTTATTAACAGAGGGGATGTTTAATCACTGGAATAAACTAGTATGCTAAGTAGCACAGTTTCCCTGTCTTCACATCTACTGATCAGAAAATTCTTTCCTTGAAGATGTGCTCAGTGTAAGAATTATGCTTTGGAAAGCAAACTATTTGCCTGAGAGTAACTGAGTGAAATGCATTGGGATACAACACATAAGACATTATCTTTAACAGATCTTCCTGGCATTTTTATGCATTTATAGGGATTTACTTATTGAAGCTAAACATACATTAAACAAACAAAAAAGAAAACAACATATACTGCATTTATGAGTTGTAAATACATGAAATAAAATACCTGAATAGTCTGGTTCCTTGGTATGACTCTCCTCATCTAATGAAATCAACCTTAATTTGAAAGAGTAAGAAACATTAAGAAAACAATTCTAGGAACAGTAAATGTATTATTCTCTTTTTGGTCACACCGTTACAGAATCATAATGATAAGGAGGAAACAGTAATTCATATGGACTCCTGCTTTTGCTATATTTGCTGGTTTGTTGTTGAATTTTACTGTTCTATCGGAAGAAGTCTAGTGAAAATCAAAATAAGACTGAAGACCAACTGTCAAAACCTACCAGCTTCTCATTCTTCACCTAACTAAATATATGTAATGAAAGCACAGAGTGTTCTGTTTTGGTCAGTGGATGTAAACCTAAACAAGTAAAATAACTTTTATTATAAATAGCCAAGCAAAATCCACTAATTGTCAGTCAAGCTGTTCTCCGCTTTTTGACAACTTATCCTTAGCTGGGTGCTTCACTTAAGCACAGATAGTCAAAACAACAGGTGGCAGCAGGATTATATCAACACAGCATCTCCTCGCAACTGAATCCTGATGGTCCCATAGGGGAGGGATCACATCTCATTCTCCTGTTCTTCTGTTTCTATAGCAGCCCATTCACCTCAGAGCTACAGGTAACCCAAACCTTGATAGCATCAGCACACTTAAATGCACTTTTTACTAAGTACCTCCTTTTCCATTGGATTACTAACCAGTGCTGTATACATTACAAAAACTAATTGCTGCTCAAAGCAATCAGGAATCCATATCCTATTCCCAGGTGAAAGGAGATGCTGCTGAAGGGAGAAATAGAATGCTCACATATCTTCTCCCATATTATGCTGCTTTACTAAGGAAAAGATGAAGCAAAAGCTGAAAAATAAAGACATGGCTAAGAAAGATGAGAAACATATCAGGTTTAATGGATCTTTTTCAAGCTCTTAATTTCATCTTAAAGTTTATTAATTTTCATACACACAAAACATTTCAGTAATGCTTGCATTAAGCTTACTTTTTCTAACGTGATCAAATTACCTGTGTCTCTCTTCAGTTTTAAATGTTTGGTGACCTCTGTAACTAGAAATCAGATTATACATTAGAGATACTTATTATTTTGAGATACAGTGCATATGACTTACTGACTCTGCTGATCTTCTGATTTGGTGCTCTCAGTCTGCGGGTCCTCCTTTTCTGCTGTTTCTCTTAGTTTATTCACAGGATCTTGCAAACTCTACATATATTGATTACATAAGTGAAGAGAGAGAAGAAAAGATTCAGGGAAGCAAAGGTATATCACATAAAGCCAAACAAGACTATAAAGACTACATAATTTAGTATAAAAGTACATCTGATACAAATAGATTCACTTCTTAAACCTATTTGCTCCTCATACTGCTTCTTTATTTCTTTACTCTTTTTTCTTCCTCACCCAACTATTCTTAGGACCTTAGCAATAGCAGCGTAATACAAAGGTACTCCTCATATTCTGAACCTGAAAGCAAGAGTTAAAATCTCAAAATCATTAGGTAAGAGGCCAAGTGTGATATTACCATAGCCTATCAACCCCCTTACAATGTGGAAGACCATGCTATAAGACAACAGCAGTTTCATGGCCAGCACTTTTATATGCAAAAGTTGGGCATGTGAACAAGCCAAGATACGAAGCACTGTATTCTCACTGAGATTAGAGAACTGGTTGCCCCCACAGTCAATATTGTTCATTAATTTGTGTTGCTGTATGAAAACTTAAACGAAGATAGTATTTAACATGTTCACTAAGTCCATCTCATGTAAGGAATAAAGGTTACTGTCCCCAATCCACCATTCACTATGAGAAAAATATTCCCATAAGTTGTAGGTCTTGTTTGCACCATCTTGTTAACCAGAATCTGTTAGTCACTAGAAGGGGCATTCCAGTGTCTGTTTCTGTAGTACTTGTGTATACAAGGATATGTACTTCTCTGTTTTAGAAACCAAACTACAGGATTTGTCAGATACTGCAGTTGTGTGGTTTTTTTCCCTCTTAGTGAATTAATGCCTACCTAGTACCACAGATTGATTTCTTACAAGCATCTAGAGCACTGCAGACATCATGTTTTGAAAAATGAGGGATCACAAAGGCCTCACCAATAATTAGAGGCCTTAAAGAAAGGTACCTTACTTTATGGCTGTCGTATTTTTCCAACACTATCACAGTGCAATGCCAAAGCCACTTACACTTCTTGGATTCTGAAAAACAGACACGAGCCACCTCATCTAGATGAAGGCACATGTTACCCTTTAACTGTATTTGTACCAGGTGCCGACTAGATTGCACCTCTTCTACTATTAAAATTGGTGGGAGTTATTCACTTGATCCTGAGAAGACCTGAATTAAAGTTCAGAAACAAAGCAATATGCACAGAACTGCAGTACAAAGAAAGACAGTGCTGCTACTTGCAGTGAAGCATCTTAAACATCTTCACGTTGACCATACAATTCACTGCACTCAGGAGGTGATGCTGCAACAGCGTGTGGTGCTCTGTGACCAAGCACAGTAGCACAGAGCCTACCCCAAGAAGGATGTTATGTTTTAGAATAACAAACAGGGCCACATAAACTGCCTTATTATGTAACTTAGAAAGTTATCAGAAGTAAAATCCTTTGCATCTCCACCAATGAAAAGTTTTATTATTCTTTTTTTATGGAGAAATTGCCATCCTTCCTTAAGAAACTGTATCACGGTGCTTCCTTCATTGTTAAAGAATGTTTCAGGAAATCCATTTTTAAAAGCCTGTGATCAAAGCACGGAAACAGTATATAGAAATTAAGTTCACAAGTACCTTAGGAAGGAAACAGAATGATAATACTCAGAGTCACTATTTCCTGTATTAGAAAAATAAATATAGCTCTGAAATGAAGCTTCAGTTTAAATGGAAATTACAACAAAACACTGCTGAAGATCAGCAGCTGTATTTTAAAACAATAATGTAGCTAATTGTTTTTACGTTTAGGCAATATTTCCATCAATTCTAACAGCAAATAATTAAATTAATATCCTTTTCCCTATCTCCCTCCACTCCACATCCTAATGCACACTATGAACTGAGGTATCTTTCTAAAATGATTAAAAACAGAGAATAAATACAAAATAAAAATGAGTGCTAAAAAGTACTGTTAACTGTTTTTTGAACATGAATGCACAGTAACGTGATAACTATTGTAAACATGCATACAAATGACACTGCGACATTCTATTAATTGTTTTAGGCTATGTCTGAAAAAAGGAAGGTCTCCCATCACTTAGGAAGTAAAATGATTAAACAAGTCTGTAAAGACACAGACTGAATGTGTACAAAAGGAAGCATGCTTCATTCAGCTTGGTGTATAAAACAATGCTGACTTCACTGGCTGAGAAGAAACAGATGTCTAACTTCACAAAATCCATCTGGATGCTTGTGTGAACTCGCATGGACTTTGTAAGCTACAGAAATACATGGCTGAGGGTCTCATACCTAAAATGCTTTCTTCCTAGCTTCATTAGTTCTCTTCTATAAAAATTGGTGAGATTGTACACGCTTGTAGAGCCACTTCACAGTCTCTCATTGTGCCTATCCTCTGTCTCTACAACTAAAAGTCACCCAATAATATTTTGCTAGCTCAGATTAATATCCCAGCCACCCAGGGGTATTTATCCACTGCCAAGTTAACTTGGATTCCAGTTAAAACATTGCTCCTACACTGACTGCCTCTCCCTTACAAAACTCCTTTACCTTGACTTGGGTTTCTTTCAAGTCCAGCCAAAATGACCTTGACTGCACGCAAAACCTGTCCTTGATTTACATCACTGGAGTGCTGGCAATGCACCCAGCTTGCCTAGAGCTCCTCACAAGTGACTTGGACAACTTAGGCACTTCTGCTCCACTGCAGCCTCACTTCAAGTGTTCTATGCAGTTTTGGACACCACAATACCAGAAGGACATAAAACTGTTAGAGAGCATCCAAAGGAGGGCAACAAAGATGGGGAAGGATCTAGAGGGCAAGGTGCACGAGGAGCGGCTGAAGTCCCTTGGCTTGCTCAGCGCAGAGGAGCTGAGGGGAGGCCTCATGGCAGCTGTGGCTCTCACAGAGCAGAGGGGCAGCACTGAGCTCTGCACTTTGCAACAGGGCCTGAGGGAGGGGCAGCTGGGGTTAGGGAAAGGGTCTGCATCAGAGGGCAGTGGGCATGGAATGGGCTGCCAAAGGTTCCCATGGTCATAGTCCAAAGTTGCTGGAGTTCAAGGAGCATTTGAACAATGCTTTCAGAAACAGGGTTTGAATTTTGGGTGGCCCTGCGTGGAGCCAGGAGCTGGACTTGATGGTACTGTGGGTCCCTTCCTACTTGGGATATTCTGATTCTTTGCTGTGAAAAAGAATCAAAGTAACATAGCTGAGGGCAGCTCCAGAAGAAAGGGAGACATCCCATGTCCTTGTAAGAACATACGGAGAAGCACAACACCATTGAAGAGACAAATACTTGCATCTGCTTCATTTGGAGGGAAGACTGAAAGGTGGCTTCAGAATTGCCTCACAGAGGTTCATGAAGAAGAAAAAAGCGCCTGGAGATATAAAATTATACACAGTCTTGCCTAGGGAGTAAAATCATGATGCAGCAAATGGAAATGAAACAACAGCAAAGGTCAGCAGAATTTAACAGTACTGAAGTAGCTGCTTGGGCTTGGTTCTCCAAGCCATTTAAGCAGCAGATGCAGCAGCAGTCCACTTTACACCCCAAAAAGGGATGCACTCAGATTTAGGTCCCTTGAGTCCCTTACTAAGGCTAGTACAATTTCTTGTCTCATATGAACTCCTCGGGAGGTTTAGCAGTATAGCATAGAAACGTAAAAAATCTGATCAAATACTCATTAAGTAAGGCAAATAAACAGTGACAGAAATTTGAAAAAGGCATCATTTATGAAAAGCAGCCCCTGAAATAAACTTGAATCCATTTGATATGTACTAATTTAAAGACAATGAAACTTTCAAAGTGTTACCAAAGCAGCAGCCCATCATCTTTAATATTACAGTAATGAATATTTTTACATCACGATACATAAGTTTGTTAGCACATTAATAATAATCTTTCATCAAGGATAAAATCAACAGTTAGGAAATACAGCTGCAATAGCACAGTTGTACTACCCTCAGTATATACCCTGAAGCAAAGAAAACAAATGGGCTGCTTTTCATTAATGGGAGTTTGGCAGTCATCTCTAAAGATAATGTTTTCTTTCCAGAAACAACCCAAAAGCCACTTAAGAGTCTCTTTCCTGAGGTAAATCTAGTACACTCATACTACAATATGCAAATAGTAGTTTTCCATTAAATGCACCTTATAGTTTTTCAGTAAGACAATCTACATCTAAGTCAAATAGTAACACTGTTTCCTTAAATTCTTGTTTTAAAGCAAAACACTGACCCTACATACATGTATGCTCAGTTTAATTCAGAAGAGGTACTTCTGAATTAAGGATGAGTAACATTAAAGTGTTCCTATCAGAACTAGAATTATAAAAGTAAAAAATGATTTGCAAGCACCAATTTCAGTATTTTCCCTTAGAAAATATCCCTTCTGAGATACAAGACAAGGAAAAAAAATTCTAAGAGACAACTCTCAATTAAACACGTAAAAATGGCCACGTTAAAATGCTTCATGTACATTTTAAACAATTATATATTCCAACTGTAAGTTTTTAATGCATAAAGTGAACAGCAGATACAACATTTTCATTGAATAAACTTCTACACTAGAAGATTACTCATTAGAAACTGCACTTATTCTTGATCACCTACAGTCACTAACTATACTTCACAAGAAAAAAATAATATCACCGTCTTGTTTATTGATGGAAAAGAGATCATGCAGGACACTGAACTTTAATATACAAAAGAAAATAATCCCACATTCTAGAGACCACAAGAAATAAAGGACTGATATTATAAGGCAGCAACATAGTCTTATCCCCAAGCAGCTGCTTTCTGCAAGAACAGACTTCCACAAAACTGCAATATAAAACTAACCTCTGATTACCATTACATTTCAGCATACATGTAGCTGCAAAAACAGGAAGTCACATATTTTCAGAGCAGGAGGCCAGTAATAAAAATAGTTATGATTCTCATTAACAAACTTAGGGCTGCACCTCAAACATACTACAGTCACTTTTATAGTTATGTTCTGTTCCGCTGAGTGCTTGTTATAGGTGCACAGATAATACGGATTTTATTTCTCCATCATAGATTCCTAACTTAATTTCAAGTTTAGAGTATGTTGAAATCTTTCACAAGAGGTAGTTCGGAAGAAAACAAGCATTTAAAAGTATCTCTCCCTTTACCGCATGAGTATTTCATGCTCTATAGAATAGGTGCATTTTCTGTGCAGGTTTATTTCCAAGATCACTACCCTATTTTGAAACATCATATGTCTTGTTGAAATAATCATGTTTATAGGTATGAAAGGGAATAAAGAATAAATACACAGCAAAAATACAGGCTAGCTGCACAAGTTAGACTGGAAAGGGCTTCTTTAAAAGCAAAGAAAAAAAAACCTTAAAAAAATTTTACACATGAGGAGATTATGAGCCAGAGCAGTTCCTCAGCATGCTACCCAGGTTCTGGCCATGTTAAGCTCAAGCCGTGAAGCAGCCATTGGTACAATGGGAGGTGACTGAGGAAACAAAGAGGTTTGGAGTTTAACTGCAGAGTCCGTAGGCAATGACTGGCAATGCCAAGATAACTAAGCCTGTCTTCTTTTGAAGTTTGGAGGTACCTTGTGCCTAGAATTTGGAGTATGTAAGAAGGAAGAACGGAGTTAGGTAACTTCAGAGCAACTGTGGACTTATCCTACAAGAAAGGATCCTTTAGAGACTGTCTAAGACGAAAAGCTTATGAATTTTTAAAACTGTCCAGTACAGCCTCCTTTTATTTTTGTCTTCTAGTCAGGAGAGACTGAAGTTTGAAATGTGTTTGTTTGGTTGGTTTGTTTTGATGTTTCAAGCTGCAGAAATAATTGTCTCCACAAACACTTCATAAAAACTCTACAAAACTGCTCCCTCACTGCTCACATTCTAGAAGACAACTTTAAATACAGCATGTCATGTACGGGCAGGTATGCTAGCCCGGGGTATGTTAAATCTTATACCTTCAGGTGCCTCTTCTCCCAGAGATCTGGAGTAGCCACAGGCTATACAGCACACTGCAGTCCAGCTTTCACTTCTGCATGCCATATGCAGAAACCTACATGGATTGAGGCTATGACTTGTAATTGTTTTCAAACTAGATTGTCTCTCCAAGCACACAGTGCTTCGCTCAAAGTTATTCATTCTTTGCTTTTCTGCCAGTTTGTAAGCCTTCCATCAGACCTTCTTCAGACAAATGTTATTTTTCTCCCACATAAATAGGATCAGTCCATCACACAGTTATCATGTTGCATAAAATAATTATAGGACAAGGACACATATGAGGATAACTGGGAAATTAATGTTTCTTCTTTTTCCCCCTATTCCTCTACTGAAGCTCAAATTGCAATGGGAAGAGCAACTTCTTAGGCAGAAGCAGACATGATTAGAAAAAAACACAGTGTGAATGAGCCCTTATTTTCGGAAACCTAGCTAAACTTTGAACTCATTACTTCAGTCAGACATTGCATATGCTCTACATTCAAAAATTACAGAAGATCAGCAAATATACTAGTCAAGGAAAACAGCAATTCGTTTAGGGAACCTGCTTTGACAGGAGGGCTGGTCTCAATGATCTCTAGAGGTCCCTTACAACCCCTACATTCTGTCATTTTGTGATTCTGTAGTTTGTATTATCTGGTCATAGTCAGATGGCTGTGGTCAAGGGCTCTACGTCCAAGTGAAGGTTGGTTATAAGCTATCCTAACCAGGGGTTCATCTTGGGACTAGTGCTCTTCAACATCTTTATCAACAACATAGACGGTGGGGTTGAGTGTAACCTCAATAAGTTTACAGCTGACACTTCATAAAAGAGGGATGTGATCCAGAGGGATCTGGACATGCTCAAAAAGTGGGCATACAAGAATTTAATGAGGTTTAACAAGGCCAAGTGCAAGACCCCATCTGTAGTACTCTGTCCGAGCCTGAGGCCCACGGTACATTAAGAATGTGAAGCTTTTGTAGCAGGTCCAGAGGAAGGCCACAAAGATGACCAAAGGACTGGTGCATCTCTCCTGTGAAGACAGATTGAGGGAGTTGGGATTGTTTAGCTTGGAGACGAGAAGGATTCGGGGAGATCTCACTGTAGCATTCCAGTACTTGAAAGGAGCTTACAAGCAGGAGAGGGATTGATTTTTTACATGGTCTGATAGTGATAGGACAAGGCAGAATGGCTTTAAACCAAAACAAGGCAGATTAAAATTAGATGTTAGGAAGAATTTTTAAATTTTATTTTATTTTATTTTTTTTTTTTAAACTCAGAGAGTGGTGAGGCAGTATAACAGGTTGCTCAAAGAGGTTATGGATCCGCCATCTCTGGATGCATTCAAGGCCAGGTTGGATGGGATCCTGGGCAGCCTTATCTAGTGGCTGGCAACCCCGTCTATGGCAAGGGAGTTGGAACTAGATAATCTTTAAGGTTCCCTCCAACCTAATCATTCCATGATTCAACAAAACATGAATGTTTTCTATATCACTGTATGGTCTCTTATTTGTTATGGAAAGACAAATGTACCTATATATTCCTTACCTTTAGCATAGTGAATTCATATGGCTGATAACCTTTGAAACTTTCATGGATAGCTGCCATTGTGTGCGAAGTTTTTTCCCAAAAATGAAGAAGTGTTGTCTGTAAGGCAGGGTAAAAATTCAGTGTACTGTTATCTTAAACATGAATCTGGTTTTTCACACAAAGTTTTTATCTCCACTCCAGTATTAGTTACAGATTCTCGTATTTGAATATTGCCATGGAAACCTCTTAGAAAAACATATATTAACTGGAAATCTTTATTTGGGAGGTAATGGGTTTTGTTTTTTTTTTTTGGTACCTGATATGTTGTTAATACATGAGAAAGAAGGTTGCATCTACTTGCTCCCAAAAGGTCAACTTTTTGACAGACATCAGTCTTCAGTTTGTCAAAGTTGAGTTTTGCATGTCGCACTTGAGCTTGAACCTTCAAACAAAGGGAGAATTATTTATGTAGCGAGTTTTTTTCTTCATTTTTCTACCCCAACTTTATGAAAGAAGAAACAAACAGAACTTAGAAAATCAGAAATATCAGAAAATAGAAATGAGAAAACTGAACAGACTCAATTAAAATCTCAAATAGAATTATTAATATAATCTGTCCCACTGAAAATACATTATAGCAAGCTGACATGCCAAAATTAGGAATTATACGTTTACTGCATAATACACAAGGACATCTCCATACACCTGATGTAGGAAAGCAATTATGCTGATGAACTTTAAAGTCAGTCAGAAATTTTGCTGATAATATAGCACTTCAGTAACTTCAAACTGCTACAAAAAGTTATCTTGTCACAGTTCTCCTTTTAATAGAAGTGCTTTTCTCATTTGTTGCTATAAGGAGAGTATCAAGACCTCCTTTCATAGGAACAATTTCTGTTTGAAAGAATTTTAGTTTCACAAATTCTTCTACCACCAGTTATGCATATACAAGATATTCTGTTACGCAAGCCATACACATTTAATGACAATACTAGTATTCTCATCAGGTATCAGAACAGAAACTTGATGTAGGCATTCTGAACACAGGATACCTCATTTTAATGACAATTTTGTGCAGAGAAATTTTTATACAACAAAATGTTTACACAATCTAGTTTTTGTCCAAGGAAATACAAAATTATCAAAAAACAGAACAATTTTCCTATCAATCTTTCACAGTTAAAACGTTTACCCACAAAAATCTTCACAGTAAACGATAACCACACTGAACCCAATTTAAAGACAATTTCTTTTCTTTACAGAAAATCCTAATTCAGAGAGGAAGCCTAACAGGCTTGGTTAAAACAAGATCTGACAAACTTGCATGTTTCTGGTTTTCAGAAGTAAATCTATAATCCTGCAACAAGTATCTGTGGTCCTTTTGTGGTGGACACATCTCATGACACCATGTGAAATGTTAGGATTACAATACCTATCATCCTATCTCACTTATAGTAATAGACTTCCAACCAGGCAGAAAAAACCAAAAGATCAGTGCCACAAATTCATCAGATGACCTACTCAGATGAATTGTGGCCATGTCTGTGATTGGACAACCCTTTTTCACTGATCTCATCTGATCAACTGTGCAAATGTTACAGGGTTGTACATATTGAAGGTCTGATACATCCATAATGAAGGAGCAATCATAACTGAAAACTGATGAAAAGTGAAGAATCTCACAGGTGAGATTTTAATTCTAGTTGATGGCAATGTGTCAAATATAAAGCTATACTTTCCAATGATGCAGCTGAGATCAGAATCCTTTTGCTCTTCAGTGTATCACAGCACTAGTTTGTTTGTGAGAGTACAGCAAGGTCAACTGTGATTTTGTAGTCAAAATTGTAGTCAAAATGTAGTCAACAGTCCAAATGAGCAAAGAACGTTACTCCTGGGGAATATAAGTATCTCTGTGTCAGAAATTGTGGGCCACAAGAAAAAAAAATATATACTAATAAATGTGATTGTTAATTTCCACAGTTGGAAGTCTGGACAGGGACTTCATACAACAAATTGGGATTCAGGTCCATCTCATGCCTCCAACTCCTTAAGAAAAAAGCCCAGAAAAGGAAAAAGTTGTAAAGTTTCCAGTTACAGTCTTCCTGCAAATAGCCTTCAGGACACTTAGCAAGAAACAACATCAGCATTTTATCTTAATACATTAATAGTGCCTCATTTAAAAGCTAGAACACTGACAAAAGGGCGATTCATAAGTGTGGAATATTAACCTGCATGTTCGAGATATCCATATAGAAGATTCAAAATATGTAGCACAGTATTTTGATACCAAATGTCACAGATTTATTTCACCAACCAATTAAGATGTGAAAGTATGAGAATTATTCAATTAAGGATGTTTATGAGCTTTTTTAACATATTAAAAATTTAGCAGAAATACTCTCCGTCGTAGAACAGTTGTGCAGGACAGCCCAGAAAGAAACCCACCCCAGGGCATCATCATAACCTTTTGCCTTTTATTTGTGCCCATGAGCACATTTTCAATTCAAATTATTATTAGAAACCTTTCAAGATTACTGGCTTCAGGAATTAGGAATAAAACCTCTATGCTGACAAAGCATAATCTACTTAAAACTGCACAAATTATTATAACAAAACTTTAGTTTTCTGCTCAAAGGGGAGTTTATGCAACATATACTGAAGTTCTCCTTCCTCTGCAATTACTTTCCAAGCCAGGACAAATAGGATCACACTGTGGTTTCTGTTCCATGAATTTTATTTCATATATTTCATTTCATCCATGCACAGCATACAAAATTTATTCAAAATCCTGATCTGAGATGTGTTGGGATTTTACTGACTAAAGAGAACTGTGCTGTTTCAAAGGCAAGGTAGGCATTTTACAATGAAAGAGCTACTAGCATCTGAAGCAGTAGGTGCCAGTTAAGAGATTTATGCAATACATGAAAATCTCACCACAGTACAGCTGACATAAAAAAAAAAAAAAAAAAAAAAAAAACCTACTACTCTCCATCTTTTCCTTTTTCTAAGGAAAAGTAAACTGCTTTTAATTTTCCAATGCAAATATCAAAGTATAATATTTAAAAGATCAAATTCTTCAAAGAAAACACATGAGAAAAATCTGAAAAAAGTGTTTTATTAATTGCTTGATAAACTAATAAGCCAGATAAAACTGAAATAATTAAAAATAAGTAAATAAATAAATAGATAATCAGTACTAAGATCCTAAATGCCGTGTGTTTGAAATTCAGACTCTGGGATGCTTGACTGTAATACAAATACAGCTTCCTAAGCTGACATTCAAACAGAAAAGTCCCAGTTTTCAAGACTGCCATCATCAAAAATAAAGAAATAAATTTTTACACCCAATTAAAAAACCCTGTTCAGTATATTGCTATTAAAATTTGGATTTTTTTTTTAAACATATTTTCAAGAAAATTTTGTGTCTCCTATGGTATTTTCATGTTACTACTTTTGGTCTAAAGTAAAACACAACATTTATTTTCAGTAGTAGCCCAATTTCAGGGACAGTTCAGCCAATAAGAAATTATCTCCAAACTAAATACAGTATATTTTTTGTCTCAGCACTTCCAGTATAGAAGCAGAAACAGATGCTTTCAGTCTCATTTGTCACCCAGCCTCTCACTTACTTGATCTGAAAAGCATGCACAGTGTGTGTACAGAGTGGAAAGCAGGGGGGGAAGTAAATCAAGAGGGAAAAATTCCTGGAATATAGCAAACCTTCCCATTGGGAGCTCTGGGTAAACTCCACCAGCAGATGGAATCAGCACAAATCTCTGCATGAAATAAGCATAACACCTTCTGGCATACCTGATTGTTATAAAGACTACATGAAACCTAAGCACAAAATAAAATAGGCTGTATTTTCAGGACAAAGTATTTAGAGCACAGAAGAGAAAGCAAAAGGAACCTGGCTACTAGTTATCACAGAACTGTAATAACATCACCTAAGCTATGAAATTATGAAAAGGAACACCTACCACACTTTTAAACCAACATATGCAAGCACCTATTGTAGTTTGCTCTTAAAGTTGAGTTTGATGCCACAAGTCTGGGAATAGAAAAATTAATGTTTTATACAAAGTAATGACTGTAGCTAAACTATTCCATGTGCAACACAAAGAATTCCAAAGTCTTGCACAGTGCTAACCCCAATTTCAGCATGCTTTAGTATGTTCAACATTTTGCAGGCTTTTCTTTGACTCAACTGTTCCCTTGGGTGGGAATAGTATTTACTGCATGTATTAATCTCTGTTCCATTAACATGTAAGGATAATATGTTAAAACAATATTTAAAGAAGAGGTTGTATACTTCTGTTTGTGTCCTTTAACCCTTCTTTTATGGTCTGATGAAGAACACTGATAAAAGTTACTTTTGGAAGATGACATTTATGAAGTTCAAAATGCCTCTTGGGCAGAATAACACATGCAAACAATATGGTCTGTCACATACTGTCACATTTTAAGCTAAGCAGATGAACATCAAACTTGTTCAAAAAGTGAAGCTATTCTTGTAAAAGATGTAAAATATCCTAGAAAAAAAGGTGCATAATTAGTTCCAATGATATACTAATTAAGTTTACCATTTTGGACTTAATTACGATTGCCCCTGCATGTGTACATATGCACTTCACTCTATTAGGCTTGATTAAGTAAACCTAAGGTAACGTTGGCATTCCTATAAAGGACTAAATAATTACCATTGCATGTCTGTCTTACTCTTGAAAGCAACACAAGTATTGTCTGGCCCTTCTGCCTCAAAAAAGATCATAGCTTTGAAAGAATAGCCAGTTCTGTGGAATTGCTACCCATGATTCTGACTCTCTGTCGATACAGAATTACAAGCTATAATACCTTGACACTGCTGTTGAAAACCTGTGTGTTCTGTGTCAGAGTTGTCTCTATCTATCAGGAATACCATGAGAAAAGAAAACAGAAGTAGCTGAAAGTTAAATTAAATATTATGTTAACTGCAAATTATTGCAACTGATTCTAGAAAGATTGAGAAAACTTTCTGGTATCCTAAAGTGATTAAAAAAAAAAAGTCTCTAACTATTATAGACCTATTTGAGTTGGAAGGGACCCTTAAATATCATTTTAGCTCTCTTGCAATGAACAGGGACACCTACAGCTACATCAGGTTGCTCAGAGCCTTGTCCAGCCAGGCCTTAAATATCTTCAAGGATGGGGCATCCACCACCTCTCTGCGCAACCTGTTTCGGTACTTCACTATCCGTATTGCAAACAACATTTTTTTTTTCTATTCAATCTAAATCTTCTCTGTTTTACTTTGAAACCATTTCCCCTTGTCCTATCACCCTGCTAAAGGGTCTGTTCCTTTCTTCCTTATAGCTCCTGTTTAGATACTGAAAGGGTGCAATGAGGTCTCCCTGGAGTCTTCAATTCTCCAGGCTGAACAGCTCCAGCTCTCTCTCTCCTGCA